CCCCCCCAAAAAGATGGCGTTCCGAATAAGTCGGCGACTTGTCGCCCTCCAAAAAGATGGCGGCGGTTCCAAGGTCTGCTGTCGCCCAAGGCCCGCGGCCGTTTACCATTTCCTTCAGCTGCGGTAACGGGAGCATCGAATTCGAGTCTGGTGGCATACACCAGGTGTTTGTGAAAAGTCCCACTTCACGACGGCTCCAATTCTCCCCACTTACCGTCTCTTACTTATCCCACACCCTTTAATCACAGCGATAAAGCGCTTGCGCAGGAGGGAGATCATGTGTTGCAAACTAGCCCCGCCCCATTCAGTTCCATTGGTCGTGTCTAGCCGTCCCCTCCCCTCCGATTGTGAGTCACAGAGTTCGCTCAGTACGGAAAATGCCCTTTGGCCCATCGTGTGTGGCCTGTTCAAAGAAGTCTGCTGCACAGAAATAAAAGCGCTTCAGCTCATCGTATCTGCATTGGTCACAGAATTTTAATGCACTGACAAAAGCCTTTCAGCATCTCTCTTGAGATCTTATATCATATGATTCAATTTTCACCTTTTTTTAGACAATGGGGGCATATTTCTGTTCAATTTGATGGATTGTCACGTGTACCTAAGTACAGTGAAAAGCTTTGTTTGTGAGCACTACAGGCAGATCATAGTAAGCAAAGGTACATAGACAGGGTGCTTGGACAGAGTGAAGCACACAGGTTGCACTGCACAGGAGGTGCACGAAGCAAGATCAACATTATTAGAAGTTGGAGAGTCCATTCATCAGTCTAATAACTCTCCCTTCTTTCTGGTCTGTAAATTTGTAAGGACTGCAACATAAATGTTGCAAATTTGGACCAGAAGCAGGGTTTATTTCACACATTGAGGTAGGAGTGACGATGACCTGCTAATTCACACTACAGAGATAGCAAGAACTGTAGATGCCGGAGTCAGAGTGGACACAGCATGGAGCTGGAGGAGCGCAGCAGGACAGGCAGCATCAGAGGATTAGGGGAGTCGACGTTTCGGGTCTAGATCCTTAATCAGGACTGTCCGGATACTCCACACTGTATCAATTCACAATACAGACTTGCTCACAATCCCGCTATACTTAAAAAAAACTAAGAAATTATCCATTTAGTACACTTACGTTCTGAAACAATTGAGACACTCTGTTTATTCCTGCCCTTGTTAAGGTGGAGTCCCGAAGTCCAAAGCTGCAATTGGCAGCCAAGAATCACTTTGCAGGGGTGATTGATTGGCTATCCAGCAGTTCAGGAGTCATGAGCCGTTTCTTCTCTGTCAATATCCTTGAAATGTTGTCTGACGAATAGTTCAAAAATATAATTTCTATTTTGTGGTTTTGACAATATAAAGTTGATAATTACAAGAGCACAAATGCATGTTTGGGTGTGTTTTTTTTTAATGGATTCACAAGCTTCACTTGTGGCCCAAAGTCAATGTTTTGATATCATCAGTAAGTCAATACAATCAGCAGTATTGAGGCCTTAACAAACTGATATTTAAAAATTCTATCATTTCAAGTAAGTTAAGTTTAGCACTGGTAGGAGTCAGATAACAATGCCTCCTTGGGATTGGAGGGGGAGGGCAGTTACCATTAAGACAAAGATTTTCATTACAAGTAAACAACCATTTATGATCAATCTCCAAGGTTAACATATCATGTTACAGAATAGGGAAATTACTTCTAAGTTGGTGATTTCAAACAGGCAGTCTGTATTTGTGACTTTATTACACGATAGTTGAACATTCCAGTCCGAGCAGGCAGTATATGAAGTGTTGATTATCTAGTTGACATTGACTTTAGAAGAAGCTTCTGGCAGGTTGCTGCTAAATCTGGTCACATTACTCTCGCAAGCAGCTTTATTGGGTTGTTCACAAACTGTCACTAAACCTAGTTGCTGGAATGTAGGAAAGGTAGTTTAAAATTCCTTTGTGACAATGTATAACAGGAAAATCAAATGTTCGAAAAGTGACCCCTGGGGATCTTCACTACAAAATTTCCTCCAGCTTTTAAGATATTGATTAATGACTACTCTCTGTTTCCTGCCAATCAGCCAATTCTACAATCAATGCTGCTACTATTGCTTTTATTCCATGAGCTCTAACTTTGCTCACAAGGCTGCTGTGTGGCACACTATCAGATGTCATTTGAAAGTCAACGTACATCATTTCAGCAGCATAGGGTGATCTCTGTTACTTCAAAAACTCCATTAAGTTAGTTAGACACAGAATCTCCTTAAAGTTTTGCTAGCTATACTTAATTTGCCGGGAACTGTCCATGTGACTATTAACCTAAATTATTGTTTTTAAGTTTACCAACCACCAACACTAAAACTGATTTAACCATGGTACAATGTTTATAAATCTCCAGTTCTCTTGCACTTTTGCCAAGTGTAATGGCTGAAAAAGTTTGACAACTGCCTCTGCAATTTCTACTCTCACTTCCTTCAGTGTCCTTCAATCTAACTTCTTCAGACCCAATGGCTCATTTACTTTAAAAACAGACATTTCTTATCTCTTCTATATCAATTATAAACAACTTGAATTGTCAAAAAATAATTAACTCTGTAGTTACTTTACAAGTCGTTGATGTGTCGAAAGGTGGGATAACTGAGGGAACCCAATCCCACACTGGGAACGGGTTACTGGCCTCTCCCCAGTGTGAACTTGCTAGTGTACAATGAGTTGAGATGATCACTTGAACCCAGACCCGCATTTGGAACATCTAAAAGGTCTCTCATCAGTGTGAAAACATTGATGGCATATCAGGTCCAGAACTTTCCACAGTTTGGACATCTAAAAGGTCTCTCTTCAGTGTAAACAAGCTGGTGACTCAGCTGGTCAAATGAGACAATAAATTTACCAAGCTCAACAGCTAACTGGTCTCTCCACTGTGGGGACTAGCTGGTGTGACAGCAGAATGCATAACTGAGTGAATCGTTTTTCACAATCAGAGCAGGTGAAGGGTTTCTTCCCAGTGCAGACACGATGATGTTGGAATCATAGATTCCCTACAGTGCAGATTGAGGCCATTTGGCGCATTGAGTCTGCACTGACTCTCCAAAGAGCATCTCATCCTCTCCCTGTAACTCCACGTTTACCATAGCTAACCCACCAAGCCTGCACATCTTTGGGCTGTGGGAAGACACTGGAGCACCTGGAGGAAACCCAGGCAGCCATGCGGAGAACGTGCAAATTCTTCACAGACACTGTCCTACGGCTGGAATAAAACCTGGATCCCTGTGCTGTGAGGCAGCAGGGCTAACCACTGTGTCACCCCACAGAACACTGGAACATTGCGGCGTTCCAGTGGGTGGGTTGACAGATTGAATCCCTTCCCACACTCAGAGCAAGTCAACGGCCTCTCGCCAATATGAACTCACTGGTCTTTTAGCAGGCTGGGCAAGTGAATTAACCATTTACCACACTCAGAGCAGGTAAATCATCTCTCCCCAGTGTGAACACAGTGAAGTTCCAGCAGGTGGTTTGACTGAGTGAATCCTTTCCCACACTTGGAGCAGGCGAATGGCTTCTCCCAAGTGTGACTGCGACAATGCATTTCCAGCCTTGAAGGGGTGTAAATCCCTTCCCACAGTCTCCATATTTCCCCGGATTCTCCCAGTGTGACTGCACATGTGTTTCAATAAGCCAGATGATCGGGTGAAACCCCGTCGACACACTTGTATGGTTCGTTCCCACTGTGAACGGAGCTTTTTCCTTCCAGTTCAACATCCGATGATGTTCAGCTTTGATATATTAAACAACTTTGCCATATTTCGATGTGACGTTTGGTTTCAGTCTCCAGACTGCAAAGTCTGTCCTTTTAATATCCTGTGAAACAAAATTAAACAGAAAAAGTGAATGAGATAGAAACAACAAAAACATAAAAACAGGTTGCGAAGTTAAGCTGAATTAAACTGCAAATTGTGGGGCCAGCTCTTCGAAAGGGAACAGATACATAGGCAGATTATGGAAAGGCACAATAATAACAGGGTTGTCATAGTAGGGGACTTTAATTTCCCCAATATTGACCGGGTCTCCCTTAGAGCGAGAGGCTCAGACAGGGTAGTATTTGTGAAGTACATCCAAAAGGGTTTCTTGAATCAGCCTGTGGATCGACCAACTAGAGGAGGGGTCAGACTGGACCTTGTATTGGCTAATGAGCATAGCCAGGTGATTGACCTTTCAATGGGAGAGTATTTTGGAAACAGTGATCACAACTCCTTAAGTTTTAAGATAGCTATGAATAGGGACAAGACAGGACCTTGCAGGAACGTATTAAATTGGAGAAGGGCAAATTACATCAGTATTAGGCAGGAGCTAGGGAGTGTTAATTGGGAGGTGCTGTTGTTGGCAAGTCCACATCTGACATGTGGGAGTTGTTTAAAAATCTACTGATCGAAGTTTAGTACCGGCATGTTCCAGTATGGAGGAATGCCAAGGATGACAAGGTAAGGGATCCTTAGATAACGAGGGAGGTTGTGAATTTAGTCAAAAAGAAAAAAGAAGCAAATGTCAGGTTCAGGAAACCAAAAATTGGACAGGGCCAGTGAGGAATGTTAGGAAAGCAGGAAAGTACTCAAGGGAATTAGGAGAGCAAGAAGGGGCCATGAAATGACCTTGGCAAGTAGGACTAAACAGAATCGTAAAGCAAACTATTAAAAACACGAGGATAACTAGGGAGAAAGTGGGACTACTCAAGGATAAAGGAGGGAACTTGTGCTTGGAGGCAGAGGATGTGGGCGAGATTCTACATGAGTACTTTGCATCGGTACTCATCCAGGAGAAGAATATAGAGGACAGTGAGATTTGTGTGAGGCATGCTAATTATGCCAGTGCACTTTGAAATCATAAAGTGGTGTTGGGTCTCTTGAAGAGCATTAAAGTGGATAAGTCCCCAGGGCCCGCTGGCATTTACCCAGGTTATTGAGGAAAGAGGGGAGATTTCTGGGGCCTTAAGCAAGATTTTTGTATCCTTGGTAGCCACCAGAAAGGTCCCAGAGGCCTGGCGTACAGCTAATGTTGTTCCTCTGTTCAAGAAGAGAAATACTGATAATCCAGGAAACTACATTGTGGTGAATCTCACATCGGTGATTGGGAAGCTATTGGAGAGAAGTCTTAGGGATAGGATTTATGTGCATTTGGAAAAGCATGGCCTAATCAGGGACAGTTGGCATGGCTTTCTGAGGGGCAGGTCATGT